GTGCTCGTACGTCTCGGGTGCACCGCAGACCGGGCATCCTTGAGCGTCTTCTCCGAGAAAGTAGAGCCGGGTGCGGACTGCGACAGCGCCCAGCACGATGCGGTACATAAAGTCCGCGTAGCGCGGCAGAATGTGGTCGGGCTGGCGGTACTCGGCGGCAGCTGATCCCCACCAATTGTACTGCATCCCAAAATGAATTCATCGACACTTACATCGCCGCGGAGCACTAGATCCAGACCGAGCTCAAGTGGGGGCGCTACCAACTCTTGGCAGAGGCTGATCGGTGTTGGCACTATCAATCGCCCGGTCCATACTGTCGAAAGGCATCGTTGCCGCAATGGCTAAAACCCCACACAACGCTACCCGTAGTCCTATTTAATCGCTTAAGACAGCGGTTTCACCAACGAGCCATCGCAATTTACATGGCCAATCTCGCGCACCACAATGTTGGCTTGCCTGAACGTTCGCCCCGAGACGCATGACGCATGTGGCAGCTGCTATTTCGCCGCGCACTTAACTAAGGCGTGCTGTACCTCCATCATGCCACCAAGATGACGCAGCGACGTGTCCCGTTTCCATGATGATTGCGAAGAACAGAGCTCTTGTTAAGCTCGCTCATCGCTCAACAGCTCGAACTCTCTTCGCAGCTCTCCAACGATGAGTGCTGCTTTTCATGCGTCGACCGCAACTGGCGGCGTCAACGTTCCGGCGTGCAGCATTCATACCACGGTAACGACACGCTGGTGTCGGCGTCATCCCGTGTTTATCGTCTTTGCTTCGAGGAAGGGCGTGCATTGCACCAATGAGAGCATTGGAAACCGCAGTGGACGCTCTCCTCCATGTGCTGACTTAGTCCACTGGACCAGTGGACGCCCCGTGCCACGCGCCTCGTTTCATCCACATTGGTAGTGTCTACGGTCAACGTTGTTCGAGTGTTCGAGTGTTCGAGTGCTTATTTGTACTGGATAACTTTTTTATGGAAGTGCAATATCAATTGCGAAAGTGATTATATAACCGAAAACAGACAAAGCATAGTGTACACAAGTAAATCAAGTGACATCGAATAAATTACAAACACTGAAGTATCACAGCCAAGAGGAATATTGAGTTGCGGAGTATTCAGCCCCACTCAAGTTGACTGTGGGCTCCGCGACAACTGAGAAGTAGCGTACCACCGGAACCTTCCAACTAAGTGTAGACCAGCGACAAACGCTCAACATATGAAAAACAAACTTGTGGCTGGAACCTGCAATGCAATGGCCTGCCTGAGACACCTGTCCACGCAACGTTGAGTTCACATGCCGATCAATTGTGCCGATCGCAATGGCGCGCGCGACCAACCTACTTGCAATCTTCGCTTGAATTAACTTTGTGAAAATATTTGAAGAAAGGAGTCTGTCAGCACAGAACTGCAGAACTCCCATCAAGAGTGTACTTGACTCATTGATCGCAGTCCACGTATTACTCGTACCGTGCATGTCGAATGATGTGTATCGAAGTTACCGGCTCAGATGCTCTGCTGGGCTTGACCCAACTTGAAGCGCCAGCTACCAACTTCACCATTCTCATTTTTCAATTTGATCATCATGGTCCAAATCGCCTCTGTCTTTGCTCTCGCCGCCCTCACCGCCGTCCAGGCCACCCCGAACTCGGCCAACATGATCCAGGTCTTTGGTGGCAAGGAAGCCGAGATTGGCAAGCACCTCTACGTGACGGGTCGTCGCGAGGACGAGACGGACCAAAACTACTGCGGCGGTGCCGTCATCTCGCCGACGGCGATCCTCACGACTAGCTACTGCATCGAAGACGACAACATCAACTACGTCTCGATCGGCTCGCACTACCTCAGCGGCGCCAAGGACGGCGAGCGCATCGCGGTCAAGAAGATCGTGCAACACCCCAAGTTCAACGACGACACGATGGTCTACGACTTTGTGGTTCTCGAGCTCGCCAACGCGACAACTGTGACGCCGATCGAGATCCTCTTTGACGAGAACGACCCGGTCGTTGCCCCCGGCGCCGTCGCGACGGCCCGCGGCTGGGGCACGACCTCGGTGCTTGGCCCGCATTCGGACGTTCTCAAGGAGGTCGACCTCAAGATCTGGTCCAACAAGGACTGCCAGGCTGCTTTCGACAATCTCCACAACCCGTCGCTGACGCCCGTGGATGTGACGATGATCTGCGCCGGCGGCGTCAAGGGCGAGGGCACGTGTGATGACGACGAAGGCGGCCCGCTCACGGTCTCCAAGGACGGCAAAGAAATGCTCGTCGGTCTCACAAGCTGGAACGTTGCCTGCGCCCCGCCCGACCGCGCCAGTATCTACTCTCGCTCTCGCAGGCCAAGGACTCTATTGCGCCGTGCCTTACCAAGCCGGCATGCTAGGCGATGGCATTCCGCAGCTCCGATCGGTGCGGGTTTGTACGGACTATAACAAACGACAGTATGATTTCTACTTTCTACTACAATTGTACTACAGCCACGTGCAAAATACGAAGTACTTGAAAGGAAACGCTTGCACAATACGTCCTCTGACTATCAACGCGCGCAACACACTAAGTCTCGCTGCGGTCACGACCCCACTCGCATACGACCCATGAACGGCCCTCGACATGAACGGCTACGAGACTGCGACTCTCAATGAACATCCGTCGGTGTCAAGACGGTGCTTGCACTGGTGATGTCACGAGCGGTGAGCGTCACAGCTTCCACCAATGCTCTGTTGAGTGCGTGGAATAGGCGCATCGGAGACCACTGAAAGCATCGACCCATCCGTGGTATTCAGGAATGGCTCTAGTCAAAGACAGATGTCGCTGTGCGATTTGTGAGGCTGCTTAGGGAGACAACAGTCGGTGACACTGGAAATGGTATAGTAGAGAAAGCGACTTGGTTATAGACTAAGCTTTTCGCCTCAAAGCGGCCGGTGCAGCCAACACAGATACGACAGTGTGCCGTTGGATGCCGTGTTGGACGGCCATTCCAAAATGGATCGTTGCAGTATGTTTTTTCAACTAAAGACGACACTACGAAGCGAATAGATACCACGTCGACAAAGCAAGGACAAAAGTGAATTCAGTCGAAAGCCACTACAAAAAGCCTGTAATCGGTGTTGGTAGACTCTACACATATTGCCCAAGCGTCTAGCACGCCGGCTTGGGAAGATATGGCGCAATAAAGTCCTTGGCCTGCGAGAGGCGCGCGTAGACACTGGGAATACCAGCCTCACCGCAGACAACGCCCCAGCT